GTGAATCTGCGTCTCATTCAGCACGTCTGCTGTTTGTTCAGATATGTTTTATGTAGTATAGTTTCACAAAACTAAAGTCAGACCATTCTGTTTTTGCTTTAAATTTCGAAATTATACAGTCTAATTTAGATTAACTTAGATTTAACTACTCATGCTTCATGTATTCAGCATCTTTGTTTGGATCATGATTAAAATCCAGTGGTTGCCTCTAATTTTAAATGGAAAGAGCACAGACAAAGCCTTAGTTTGTTCATATTAAGAGATTTCTTTTATTTATGTAACTTGGGGCTTTGATTTGGGGCTTGTTTTAAAATTTCAATTTAGTTTTGTTATATTTCAATTTCACAAAGAAACGTGCAGCTATAGCCTAATAAAATTACACCTTTTCATTTACTGTATAATGTCTTCAGTCTCATTTTGTTAAAAAAAATCGATGGAAAATCTAATCATTAAATCAAAATCGTGAATCGAATCGAATTGTGAGTTGAGTGAATCGTTACATCCCTAGTTGTAGCCCACATATAGTGGAACATCGCCAAAAAATAATTATCCCCCAATCTTATTTCCTTCATGAGATATTGCATGTCAAATTAGAAAGATATGTCAAATTTCCCTTGAACACGTTTTTTTTTTTTTGCCTTTTATTAGCAGTTTCTTAGCATCAGAATGTCCAAATGTAATTTATTTATTTTTTAATGTAAAAAGTTTTCTTTCAAATGATACCAACCTTTTGACTCTTCTTGCTATAGTTTTGGAGTTATGAGTCTTTACTTTTTTTGTATGTCACTCAGAAAACTCTGAAAATGCCTTCAGGGCTTAAGGGGTTAAGGATTGGATGCGTGTCTCTACTTCTGAAATCTTCTCTCTCAGCCCTGCATTCATCACATGTGAATCCCTCACTGCTGACAGAGAAGGCTACACTAAACATATGGCAAGCAGTGACAATAACAGGAGAAGAAGCCATGGCACACCGTGTTTGTTGAATGATTCCGACTTACCACAGTTGTTTGATGAACGTGTACAAAATGGAGCAAGAGAAAGAAAAGAAACAGTAGGCGCGAATGACAACCTAACCCTAACGGAATGTTTACCAGTTGTGCTAGCGGTTTAGATTAAAAAGCGAACTATGTCAAATTAGTTGGATAGATAATATGAGAAATATGGTGATAATTAAGTTATATTTAGCAGTTTAAACAGCAGAGAGTGATAGTACGATTCCAACTGAAAAACAAAGCTACACTGAGCTATAATCGCAAACCACTCAGCAGCATGGCAGACAGGAATCGGAAGCCAATCACACCTGATCAGTACAACCCAAATGTACAAGTTTGTGTAGCACATTTTACGGAGGACAGTTCCCTGAACTTAGGAGAGTACAGGACCGGCTGTGCACAAAGGCTGTTTCTAAAAAAAATGGGGCAATTCCAACTTTGCTAGGACAATCTGACGATTCTGAATCAGAGCCCGAGAGTATGTTTTATTATTATTTGCTATTGACTGTTCAAATGCAGAGTTTGGTGAAATGTAGAGTAGCTCGCAATTAAGGTAAGGGACGTTACGTCTCCCAACACACGCTTGAGATGTTTGGCCAATCACAATACACTGTGTCAGCTGGCCAATCAGAGCACACTCCGCTTTTCGGAAGGAGGGGCTTAGTAGAAATCGACACGTTTTAGAAAAACTGTGCATAGAGGAACTACAATAATGTACAGTATGTAAAAAATATTGTGTTTTTGAACATTAAATCATGCTAACATATTCTATTACACCCAATACACAAAATAATGATCTTTGAAAATAGCATCATATGACCACTTATTTTGGCATACAGTATCAGGTTTTTTGTCCTGTCCTTTGCTATGGTTATCACTTTCAATCATCGCAGTTTGGGATTCAATCCACCATTTAAATAAGGTTGTCAATATAGAAACTAGTATACGAAGGCGTTAAGATCATTTACGCCTTCGTCACCTGGGTGAGACATGAACAGCATACACTATCTGTGTTTTTAAGCCTTGTCAATTGAAACATTCAAGCAAAGAATAAGCGCTTGAGAACTCACGCACGCTGTTTTAAGATGTGTGTGTGCGCACTCATCCGTAGCACGTGCACATGGAGAGCCTCGTCAGACAGCGCGTGCTGCGCAAATATTGATTTCTCTTTCAAGACTTGCATTTGAACTGACAAACTAACACAAAATAAAATGTTAACATGCCCATCTTTGTGATTATCTTTGCAAACATCGTTGGTCATGTCTTAAGTGAATGTAAACAGTCGAGAAAGAACATCATTATCAGTGTACTTGATCTGTGAGTTGTGTCTTAAAGGAACAGCAGTCTATTTCTGCTGTCTGTGTTTTTAATGTTAAACAACAGAAGACAAGGAAATCACTAATTTCTCTTGATTGAATAGCCTTTGTAACTTCAAGAAGGATTGATCTTTAATTAATACAGTGAAATAAGAACTGTTATTTTACATTTGTTTACTTTTAAATTTCTGTGCCTGAAAATTGTGAAACACCTGAAAAAAAAACTGTTTATTTTATTTGTATCTTTGCTCTATTGTATTTATTTGTGATGTTGCATGTAGTTTATTTATTATTTTCTTTATTTTTATTTGACCATAGTCTTTTTTTCCCTGAACATAGCACATACCGAATCGAACCGTGACTCTAAAACCGTGAGCAATCTGAACCGTTACACCCCTAAAAAGCAAGCAAAAAGCTCTCCCATTTTAATCACTGAGGCATAGAGCCACCATTTGACTGGCTGAGCAAAAACTCCCCTTATAAGCAATAAAGCTGACAACATTGCACAATGAATCTCTTATTTACATTGTGTTGTTTTTGAAAGGATTCACAAATGTGATTTAGCTTAACTCTGTGAGCTCGGTCTAAACAAACTCCAGTGTTCAGAGTTGTTGAGTGGTTTTAGACCAACTAAAACACATCTGTTGGGCCACGTGCTTAACAGATATGTCTGTGATTGGCCTACAATGCTCACTGCAGAACTCACTGCATTATAAATAGAAATTTTTTGATGCTCTCCACAGAGCACTTGCCCAAATACACACGGGAGCATTAACATTATATCAGTATTCATGTTATTCTCTTTGTCAACACAATTATCATGTAGAGTGAGTTTTATCTGTTTTTGTCTACGTTGTTCATCTGTCACATTTACCGGTTTCACTTAAGGTTGTTTGGGTAACCTCCACATAGCTGTGAACTTCAGAACACCAGGGTATCAACTACCAAAATGAGCAAAATCATGATATTGTACTGTTTGAAATATGATCTATACATGTATTTTTCCAGTACCGGTTATACCGTTCAACCCTCATATACTTTGTGCAGTATGCAAATTATCTGTATGCATGCAGTACCCAATGACATTCAATTTCTTGGTTGGCGAATAAACCAGAATCAATAGTGAAGCAACATCTCTTCTTTTGAATTATTAATTCTTTGGGCTACTGAAAGTTTGGGTGTTTCTCACACTAGGCACGGTTGCCTTGTACTGCGCCCAAGCACAATTGTTCCCACTCCCCCACTGGCCTGCATTCACATTGCACTTTAACATTTCAGGCCTGCCTATGCAATCTTACGTAATTACAATGTGACTGTTTTGAAGAAAACGAGAAGCAATCTTGCTCAATACAGTAGAGTCCATTATGGACTTATTATTTTGAGTTGTTTGGGGCGCAGTGACACATGGTCCTCTCACATTTAAAATATGTTGTTTAATAGATATATCGCTTATGCTGCACAGAAAGTCAGACTTTCGTGCGCAATTTGCCTGTTCAGACCATCACGTTATAGTTATTTTTGCTTTAAGGATTTTATGTGTCAAAAGTTTTGATACCATTTGAAATTTCATAATTCTGATGACTTGACAATTGACAATTTCAATATCACAAAAAAAACTATATTAGCTTAACTAACATAAGTTAAAAAACTCAAGTTTACTCGAGACAAGTAAACAGTCAGTGATAAAAAGAGCAAATAACTAATTACAAGCAATAGGACAAAAATCTACAATTGAACAGAGACACAAATGAAATAGAACTAAATAAAAAACTTCAAGCACTAAAAATGTGAAATGGTACTTAAATTAAAATAGTAGTTGAATGCTGTGTACAAAAAACACTGCATAGTCTTCACTGTGTAAATTAAATATAAATCGATTCCTGTTAAGATTACAAAAGTAACTCAGTCGAGAGCAGTGAGAGATTTTTTCTCTTTTGTTGTTTGATTAACATTAATGACCTAGACAGCACCATGTTTATTAGTCTACTGTCACTTAAAGACCTAATTAACATATCTAATATACTGATACACATTTGTTTTCTTTCTCAACTGTTTACATTTACTTAACACTTTACTTAATCGCTCAGCATTTTTTTCTCAGCACCCAGAGTTGAAGAATGTTCAATTTTGGGTAAAACGCAGTGCTCATCACTGACACTTTTTAGTCCACTAACAAATCACAGTGGAGGAGGGGCAGGACAAATTCCACCCCGACCAACTGCCACATCCTACTTGTACAACATCAACAGACAACAAGAAGAAACACAACAACGGAAAAACAACAAGGGCCAGAGCAAGTACTTTATATTGTGCCGACATTGTTATATTCAGAAATAAACTGTCTGCGAAATCCATGGATATTCTGTATCGTAGCAGCCAAAGCATCTCAACTGAAAACAAAAATGCTGCACCACAGAAGTGCTCTCAAGCGCTCACAGCTAGGTGTTTTCAACAGAGAGCCTGGCATTTTCAGCTGGCTAAAAACGCTTTGGTGGACACACAGCCTTAATGCTTATAATTGGTGGGGTTTTTACCATTGCATGTAATGTTTAACATGAGCTTTAGAAACAGCATGCAGTATACAGTATATACTGTGCATGTATGCAGTAGTACACTAGTAAACCATTCTAAGAAAATTACATGAAACAAAAAACTTGAAAAATAATAATTTTGTGATTGTCTTTCATTTACCTTTATCTTCACCTCAGTTCCTAAAGAGCAGCAGAAGACAGATTCCACAGAGCCACTCAAAGCTGTCAAACCTGGACAGGAAGAGGAAGGCTCTATCCAGACCAAGGGTCAGGGTGCAAGCTCTGCAGAAGTCAAAGGTTAGAAATTAGTTCAGCTAAAATGGTGCCTCTGGTGTTTTAGTTATTTTTATTTACTGATTTTCCTATCTTACTCACACTTCTCTCTCGTGGTGTTTCAGGAAAAGAGAAGATGCGGATGAAGCCACGTAGCACACATGAGCTTTCTGTGGAGCAGCAGCTGTACTATAAAGAAATCACCGAAGCATGTGTGGGATCATGTGAAGCCAAAAGAGCGGTATGTGTGTGTGTGCGCCCAGGGTCCAAAATTAAAGGAGTCCTATTATGCACTTTTTACAAGATGTAATATAATAAAGTCTCAGGTATGTGTCAGAATGTGTTTGTGAAGTTTCAGTTCAAAATACACCACAGAGCATTTATTATTCCATGCTGTAAATACCATTTTTTTGGATGGAAACAAAAACATGTTGTTTTCGTGTGTGTTTCTTCAAATGCCAATGAGCTGCTCCTCCCCACCACCCCCTTTCCATAAAAGGGCTGTGCCTTTACACTTTGTGCCTCAGATACTCCAGCAGCAACAAATCTGTTTGTTTTTAATATTAGTGCGCTCACACGTACATGACATTGATGTGAAAAGTTTATTCTTTCCATGCATTTAAAGAAATGTCAGTTAAAATGTCTGATATACATTTTTCTGTCACGTCTGTTTGTTTATTTGTAGTCACAGACAGTATTAGGGGTGGCACGATACCATTTTTTCAGAACCGATCCCGATACGATACCAAAAGTTCTGAGTATCGGACAATACCGATCCGATCCGATTTTTTTATTTTTTATTTCTATACCTCAGTGTGTGTTGACCTGATCATCACTCTTTTTTTGTATTACACACAGTCTACTAAATATAGACAACTTCATTATAAAGAAAAATAACAAATTAAAAATAATCATAATCTATGAGAAAAATACTATTATGAACTAGGTTAGTGGATAATTCAGCAGCAAAAGTTACTCTACAAAAATGATGAGTTCACAATAATTTTATAAAATCTAAACATTTAGAGAAAAAACATTATTTAGTGGGGGAAAAATAAAAGTAAATAGGTGTAATCTGGTAAAATGTTACACATTGCTCTTTGTATTGTAATATACATTCATGGAAAACAAGTAGATATAATTATATATAAATATATGCAATAAATTACATTTATTTTACATTTATAGCACAGTAATGAGGCAGCAACATATGATAGATAAGACGGAACAAGAAAGGCTATTAACAATCTTTCATTGCGCAAAAGTATTATAGCATGAAATGCTCCAATACAGAGCGGCACGAAGCGCTTATGCACATCCCGTGCGCAGAATGATGCGCTTGAAGCAAGATGGAGTCACAGCGCGCAGCGCTCCGCATAGAAAAGTTCAAAGCAAAAAGAGAAGAGACATTGATGCATAGTGTACAGGGCTTGCAAAATTTCAAAATCGCTGGTAGCCCTTCGGGCAGACATTCTTCAAATTTTGGTAGCCCAAAATTAATTTAAGTAGCCCAAATAAAAAAAAAAAGACATAGACATCACTCTTCAAATTTTGGTAGCCCAAAATTAATTTAAGTAGCCCAAATAAAAAAAAAAAGACATCGGCTGAACTTCACTGCGGACAAATCAGCATTATTAAAAACTTCAGTGATTGCTTTTTTTCTTCAAATAACAAGTCAAGAGAGTAGGGTTGCAACGGATCACAAAACCCATGGCTTGGATCATATTGCATGATCATATCAGATTTTGAGTAACAGATCGGATCATTTTGCAGATGAGCAAAAAAAATATGGTTCTTTATTATTTAAATAACAGAATACTTATTTGATACCACAGCAAAAACTAGTAGCATATAGGGATGTAACGATTCACTCAACTCACAATGCGATGCGATACGATTCACGATACTGATTTCACAATCCAATTTTCTCACAATTTTTCTTTTTAACAAAATGAGATTTAAGACAAATTCTAAATGAAAATTAACTTGCAATTTTGAAACAAATCCCAGATCAAATAATTAAATAATACAAATAAAATAAATCTCTTCATATAAACAAACTAAGGCTTTGGCTGTGCTTTTTCCATTTAAAATCAGAGGCAACCACTGAATTTTAATCACGATCCAAACAAAGATGCTAAATACATGTTATTTAGATTGCAATGAGATTGTATAATTTCGAAATTTGAAGCAAAAACAGAATCGTCTGGTTTTAGCTTTGTGAATGAGACGCAAATGTCACTCTCTGACAGCAGGTGGCGCTTATGGAACAGCAGGTATTTATAGGCTGCTGCCCCATTAAGACCGAATGCACGGATCCAATATAATGATGCACTTGATATTTCTTTCACCACTGTTTACGTTCACTTAAGACATAGCCGACTGTGTTTATGAGAATTCTTGCCGAGACAGTTATTTTGAGATCATTTTGTGTGTATGTGTTCATTCAGATGCAAGGATATGCGAAAGAGGAATCAATTCTGTATTCACGCGTTGTCTGAAACGCGGTTCTCTGTGCACGCTTTGAATGAGTGCGCGCAGCTCCGAATGTGCCTGCAAACGATCAACTATGATCCGTTTTACCCCTACATGCTAGTGAACAACGCAACAAATATCACTGTTCAAGATAGCCCGTCGGGCAGGGCGGTGATACATTTTGGTAGCCCGAATGGAAATCACAATACCCCCGGGACGTCGTGCTAGCGATTTTGCGAGCTCTGGTGTATTATATCTGTGCGATAGTTTATTGAGCCTTTTCTTTTAACAGTTTTAAATTTCAGTTACTGAAACGAGAAGAACAATTCATACTGCTCTCTGCTCCATGATCTAACAGACACCTGGTATTAAGTGACATGATTTAGAATTAGCACTAAACTCCAGCAAGATAAAGTCCTTTTATGCAAAACCACTGATGTTTCTCTACAGATCAAGTATAATAGTAGGAACATTGTATCATACAGAGAGTTTCGTCGTCTTTGACTGTCTCTCCGAACGCGACACGCAGTTTGAATACTGAATGGAGGATGACTGACAGCTGCAGCGGAGAGAAGAGTTTACTTGAACTTGAATTTAACACTTAAATATTCATCTGTACCTCACATTAAACTATCGAACGGTCTCAGAACACTTGAAATATAGTGCACGGAAACTTTATGGTGCTTTATAATGTTTTTGTGCCTTTCGTGTGGGTTAACAATAACACAGAATAGTATACGCACAATATCGGATTTGGATCGGTCTCGTCTGACAGATCTTGTCTTACATCCAGCAGAAAGTGGCAGTATCGGAGCGATACCAATACTGAATTTGTATCGGCGCACCCCAAGACAGTATGCATCACATTTAGAAAGAATGATAATTTCTATAATTTTTCCATCAAAAATACAACCTGAGTAGCTTTAGCACTCTCTCCAGTCCCAATGCATTCCTATATTTTCAGTCAGAAAAACAGGACAAAAAAACTGATTATATTTTGTGATGGCTTATGGAACAGCAGGTATTTATAGGCTGCTGCCCCTTTAAGACCGAATGGCCGGATCCAATATAATGATGCACTTGAGATTTCTTTCTCCATTGTTTACGTTCACTTAAGACTTAACTGACTGCGTTTTACGAGAATACTTGCCGAGACAGTTCTTTTGAGATAATTTTGTGTGTATGTGTTCACTCAGATGCAAGGATACGCGAAAGAGGAATCAATTCTGTGTAAGCGCATTGTCTCAAACGCTGCTCTCTGTGCGCGCAGCTCCGAAAGCACGTGAATGGTTTAAAACACTTGAATGTTTAAATCGGCAAGACTTAGAAACACGTGCAAACGATCAACTATGATCCGTTTTACCCCTACATGCTAGTGAACAACGCAACAAATATCACTGTTCAAGATAGCCCGTCGGGCAGGGCGGTGATACATTTTGGTAGCCCGAATGGAAATCACAATACCCCCGGGACGTCGTGCTAGCGATTTTGCGAGCTCTGGTGTATTATATCTGTGCGATAGTTTATTGAGCCTTTTCTTTTAACAGTTTTAAATTTCAGTTACTGAAACGAGAAGAACAATTCATACTGCTCTCTGCTCCATGATCTAACAGACACCTGGTATTAAGTGACATGATTTAGAATTAGCACTAAACTCCAGCAAGATAAAGTCCTTTTATGCAAAACCACTGATGTTTCTCTACAGATCAAGTATAATAGTAGGAACATTGTATCATACAGAGAGTTTCGTCGTCTTTGACTGTCTCTCCGAACGCGACACGCAGTTTGAATACTGAATGGAGGATGACTGACAGCTGCAGCGGAGAGAAGAGTTTACTTGAACTTGAATTTAACACTTAAATATTCATCTGTACCTCACATTAAACTATCGAACGGTCTCAGAACACTTGAAATATAGTGCACGGAAACTTTATGGTGCTTTATAATGTTTTTGTGCCTTTCGTGTGGGTTAACAATAACACAGAATAGTATACGCACAATATCGGATTTGGATCGGTCTCGTCTGACAGATCTTGTCTTACATCCAGCAGAAAGTGGCAGTATCGGAGCGATACCAATACTGAATTTGTATCGGCGCACCCCAAGACAGTATGCATCACATTTAGAAAGAATGATAATTTCTATAATTTTTCCATCAAAAATACAACCTGAGTAGCTTTAGCACTCTCTCCAGTCCCAATGCATTCCTATATTTTCAGTCAGAAAAACAGGACAAAAAAACTGATTATATTTTGTGATGCGGAAATATGAACATCAGACAGTCAGGTATAAAGAGACTAGACTTACTGACATAAAATATGTAACTAAATAAATATACGATTGTGATAGCCTATATGATTTGTCTGATTTTTTTCAGGCAGTCGTATTTACCATGTTTACTATGGTAATGGCTAGCGTGCATTTGCATTGCATATATAAATATTTCTGCCTTGTATGGTGATCATGATCCACATTGGATCTCAAACAGAAGTTATTTCAAACACTCGCTGCTGTCAGAAAGTGAGTTTTGAGCTAAAATTATTTTAAAAGTCTTTAATGCTGATGTCAGCTGGTAACTATGAGATCTGCTGCACTGATGCTCTCCAGACTCTGAGAAACTCCGCCTTTGTTCATGACCACTCCTCAAGGCCGAGCTTGCCCACTTTGGCCCAAGGTATTTGGCGGGCCAAAAAACCCTGGCTGTTGGCCCCGAGGAAGCCCTGACAAGGCACGATCAAGCCTCGGAAGTGACAGTGGAAATGCAACTGGCCCTGGCACGCACTAGCACAGAGGAAAGGCGGCTATTGAGGTGTTTGAGGGAGTTCAGAAACAGTGCTTACTGATATAGAAAATAACTCCCCTTGGAGTGGACTTTGTGCTTTGTAACTTTGCAGATCTTTTTCATGCACAAACTGCGACATTATGCCTTAAAGGAAGTTGAAAATGTAAAAAAGCATATTAGGACTCCTTTAAGTTTCCACACCACACCTGAAAATGGTAGTTAAATTGAGAAAATTTACTAGCCATAGCACTGTTTGTCCCTATGACATTCACTTGTGTTTTGCATGTCTTGCAGCATCATGATATATATTACTGATCCATTTTTTCTTTAACTTTGATATGTTGTATATATTTTGTTGTAATTCTGCCAACAGGAAGCACTGCAGAGCATAGCCACAGACCCAGGGCTGTACCAGATGCTGCCAAGGTTCAGTACCTTCATCTCTGAGGGCGTGAGTACATTCATGGACTACTTATATCTGCTACAACTGTTTTATTAGCCAGTGTAACATGGCTACAACCAGTACGGGTATAGGTCAGGGCTTCCCAAGCTTTTTCATTCCAGGACCCACCTAGACAATAATAATCTATCCCAAGACTCACAAAAATATTTC